TCTCCTACTTCCTGGTTCCACCTTTCCCCAGACATAGAGGTGTTTATATGATGTTTTTATGGAAGTAAAATTATGAAAACATTTTGAATGCATTGCACATTTATTATATAGAATTTGGGAGGTATACAGAACTACAACACAAAATTAAAAATCACAACCTTAATTCCCAGTAAATGATCAATTTGTTACTGTGACATGTTTAATTTATAGTTATTTTATAAAAACACACAGTAAGTTTAAGTTGTTTTTTTAAAACTTTTTAATAGGAAAAACAACAACTGTAAGAGCATTTCTTTTCCGCCTCGGTTTTTCGTCTCTATGAAGAGACTCTGAAATGCTTTAGGTCCTGCTGTGAAACAAGGCAACACACACAGGGGAACTTTGTTCCTAATGCTGCCGTCCGGATGCAGTCCCATGGCTGCCCGATTTGGAGCCTGAACATTTTTCAGCACGACTCTGAGAGGCAGAAGTAACACAGACTCGGGAAGCACGGCCAAGGCCAAATATGCCTGTGGCGGCCGCGTAGGGCTGTGTTTTCCCCTGAGGTTGATCTCGTGTCGTGTAGTGGTCCCTGAAGCCTGCGCTGGAATGCAGCGTGCAACACTATTTCTGGCTTGCCTTCAGTGAGTCCAGGCTAAGAGTCGCTTAGTGAAGAATGAGACAGGGTTTTTGTTTTCCAGGAAAGGGACCCAATATCCACTTAATTATGCCATGAATCACTAGTGAAACAAGAGAGGGAACTCTTATTACAACTAGTATTTAACATCCATTCTGTCTGTACAGGGCGTAACTCACTCCTGCACGCCATGCTGTCCAATATCCACGCCTATTACAGTTTTATAAAATCGGATACAGTTGTTTCATCCAGGCAGCTAAGTAGCGTGATAAGATTGAGGAACTCCTTGTTGCTAAGTCTGTTGGTGGTGGCGAAAGTCAGAATGTGGGTAATTCCCATCTGCTGAGCAGCTGCAATGCAGGCCACAAAGTGCAAAGTACACCTAAGCATTTTACAGTTGACCACTATTACTCATTGAAACAAGCCGGGAGCCTTAAAGGAGCAGGAGCCCGGGGCTCGCTCTGCGGGCCTCCTCTCTGTCTGTCACCCCGTGTTAGGCCTCTCCCTGGCCAGCACTCTTCCAGGAGCTGTAATGGATGATTCCGGGTGCCCGTCAGCATCTGCCAGCATCCTCTGTCTGCACCGCCAGCGCACAGTGCCAGCTTCGGTCCTGGGGAAGCTTATGAGTCCGTGTTCATTTAGTTAGATGTTCAATTTGCCATTCCTTAGTTTTGTAAAAACACTATCCAGATTATATACTGTGATGTTTTCTAAAACAAATCCAGATCTTAGAAAATCAATTTCTTATGTATTGCACATAAAGTATACAGCCTGTTTAAGCCTTGCATCTACTTCTTGAGTATCCCTGTTGCTTCTATACACCGGAGATTTAAAAACTGAGAAGACTGGATATGGAATCCATTTCTTATCTCCTGTGTTATAGCTTTGTTGGGGCAATTGGACAGTTGCTAAGCAGTTTCATTTGGTTGGGTGAATTCTTTGGGGGCTCAGAGGGAAGGGTGCTCTTCTTTTTGGGGATCCTTATGTAACATTTAAGTGTACCCTAAAAATCTATTTACAATTACCATTGACAAGTCACTGTATATATTAAATCAGTGTCCCTTTTCTTAACTAGGGACTGCGTAGACAACACTTGGGTGGTTACCTTTGGGTTTCCTAAACTTTATACTTATTCCAGGTCTCTTTAGTGCTGTAGCTCCTCCCGTCTATGTGGAACCTCTGATCACCTTTCCATGGAACACGGTCTTGCTCCTGCACCTCTGCCCAATCCTGTTGCAATGGCCCCACTCATCTTGCTGCGTCTTGTCCTGTCCTGAAATCTGTTTTCCATAAGTTCCCTAGTGGCCCTCACCATCATCATGTCTTTTTTTTTTTTGGCCAAGAATCCCCAGTAGCAGCCCATTACCTGCAGGGTGAACTCTAAGCTTCTTAAAATGGTTGACAGTGTTCCTGTCTGCTCCGCAGTTCATTGCTCACCACTCCCCATTTGACAGGTTACACTCTTAGAATCCCAACTCTGAGCTTTCTCCGCAATAACTATAGAAAGAGCTACCTGTCCTTGCTAATGTGTACTTTGCCCGGCGAGAGTGTAAGCTCCTCACACTCTTCAGGTTCCATTCTCACCCTCCAAAGTTTGCTGCAAATCTATTCCTCTAAGCTCTCATCCACCCTCAGAATATGATCCAGGAGGTCAGGGTTCGATTGCCAGTCAGGGCACATGCCCGGATTGCAGGTTCGAACCCCATTATGGGGCATGCAAGAGGCAGCTGATCCATGACTGTCATCATCGATGTTCCTGTCTCTCTCTCTCCCCCTCTCCCTTTCTCTTTGAAATCAGTAAAGACACATAAGAAAAAAAAGTGCCTCTGGTTATGTACATACAGTTAAAATGTGATGATCTTTTAATATTTGGAATGCACTCACTGTTGCTATAGTTCACTTCTGAATTTTCTTTGCTAATTCCTCACTTTATGGCATCATTAACTTACCTAATTTTATCTCAGCACTATTCTACTGACAATCCAATATCTTTCAAAGTGTCATTAGTAGTCAGAAAGATCTTGCCTTTGGTGAAAAAGTATGGAAGACTCCTGTGGTATTCAGTTACCCGTGTTACACATGGTTGATAGCTGGCTGACTTTCTCTGTATAAACCAGATAATACATATTTCAGGCTTTGTGGGCCATCTGGTTTCTGTCACAATACTCAGTTCTGCAGTTATAGCAGGAAAGCAGCCATAGACAACAAGCCAACAAATTAGTGTGGCTCTATTCCAATAAAACTTTATTTACAAAAAACAGATGGCCCAGGACCACAATTTGCCAATCCCCTGGGTCATTTGGAGGCTTATTTCTGTGGAGGAAGATTGAGTGAGGTTTTGTTCAGATACAGAAACATTTTCCAAACAGCTTGTTCCCAGAGAATAACCTTTCTAATTATACATAATCCTGAGGTAAACACTTTGAAGGATGCTCGTACTATACCTTATTGTGCAGTTTTATCAGAAACAGAGGCTGAGGGAATAAATTATGTGAACATTCATTTGCTTTAATAACAACTCTCACAGCTCAGCACATCAGGAGTTGCATCCCAAGTGAGCCAGGACTTTCTGCACGGTGCCCTGGCCCTCAGTAATGAGAGCTGTAAAAGTGCTCACCATCTTCACCAGTCCTGTAATTTTTAGAAAATATCCCATAGCAATGACTTGGAGGGAACACAATCAGTGTGCTCGGTGACATTTAGAACAGAAATACTTATGAACACTAAAATTCTCAAGCAGCCCAGCTGGGAAGTGGGTAACATGCAGGAATTCTGCAGACAGTTTTCATGTGACCGTGTGGCATGTGTTCTGATCCTTGGAAATGTGCACATGAGAAACGACAAGGGAGAAAAGTCAAATGGAAAAAGAATGTTTACATGATCTCAAACATGTAAAAATTAACGTACACGGATCCTGTCGTTCGATATTCAGTATTTATTGAATAAGAGCCTACTCTGAGCGAGTCTCTGTTCTGCACACTTGGAAGGCAGCAGCGAATGAGACAGACCAACGCCTGCCCTCGCGCAGCTGAGGTTCTTATGGGACAGAGACCTGTTGGGGCTTAGGGGGCTATTAGTGATTGATGTATTTGGAAACTGAGTGTCATGATATTTGTCCTCTATAAAACTGCTTATACTTTTAAAAAAGCCTTTCCCTTTCTTTGGTATGTTTTGGTTTTTCTTTTTAGGAATAAAAATTTCTCTGATTGGTTCATTCAACCAGCATTTGCTGAGTTCTTACTATGTGCCGGGCTCTCTTCCAGGCTCATGAACAAAACGTACAGTGTGAACAAAACATACAGACTTACCCGTTCTCGGGGAGCTATAGTCTAGTGGGGCAGACAGAATAGAGGAAAATATTACAAATATTTTAATACATAAGAATGTATAATTATATACTGTAAGGATGTAAGTAAAATATAGACAAGGTTAGATGGTGACTAAGGGGCAGAAGCAAGGAGGAAAGCAGGATACGAGTGCTGGAGAAGACAGTTTCTAGACTGGGTAGTCAAGGAGGGATCCTCGAGAAGATGGCTTTTGAGTAAATGCTTTTTAACACTGAGCATGCTAACATTGTGATGGTGTGGGGGAAGAGCATTCTGGGCACAGGGATTCTGAGGTGACCATGTGCCTGGAGTGTTTGAGGAGCAGCAAGGTGGCCAGTGACCAGAGTGTCGTGAGTGAAGGAAAGAGAGGGAGGAAATGAGATCTAAGCTTAACGGCAGACCAGTCACTGGAAGGGTATTGGCATTTATTCTAACAATGAGAAGTTTTGAAGAAAAAAGAGATATGATCAAGTGGGCATTAAAATAACTCCTGCTGTTGAGAATAGACAGCAGATGCAGGGGTTTTTTAGGAGACTGTTGCAACAGCCTAAGTGAGCTACGACAGCTGGGACGGGCGGAGCAGGTGCGGTGAGCGCCTTGGCTGTGGCAGCCCTGAGAGGTGGAGGGGAGGCAGGAAGGCGTTCCCCTTGTCGGGGCCCATCTGCCGCCAAGGGGCGGATACGGGAAGCGCAATGTCAGGCACGTTCTAGGTGCTTCTCTCAGGCTGGTTAAATGTTCAAAACTAGAAAGGAATGTAAAGCCAAATTTCTATTTCATGGCTGCCTTCTACTATAGAACACTCTCTTCACCATTTTTGTCCTGAGTCGTTTTCCCTTCTTTGGTTATTTATTTATGAATTATCACCTTTAAGGTTTATTTGTGTCCTAAGAAGCCTTCATTTTTCAATGACCTACATTAAGTTAAAATGACAGAACAGCAAAGATTCAGTTGAACCATTTTTTTCTGTCTCATACTTTTAGGACCTGGAAGCACCATTATTGCCTTTTACTGTTAAAGAGCCCAAGACTGATTGTAACTGAATGTAATTTTTTTTTTAGGGAACAACTTAATTCTTTATTGAAGAACTATAACATTTTTTATGCGAACCAGGAAAATCTGCATATTTCATGTGGACAGGTAAGTCCATAAATGAAATACAGTTGATTCACAGGAAAAAATTCCATAGAGGTACAGAGGAGTCAGGATGAGTTGGACTTCATAAGCCAGCAGCACAAATGGTCTGTGAAAACAGGTTAATCTTTAAGTTGATCTCAATTTTTTTTAAGTATATCACAAAAATCCCACTCCTGGGACATCAGTAATTTACCAAGCATTTTTGGAGAGATAGAAAAACATTTAAAAATAACTTTAATGACATATTTGCTTTCTACTTTAAAATAAATGAATATTTTTTGAACAGCAATCCTACTAGAAATCTATCTTAATACCTTCTTACAAATGTACCGGGATGTATACAGAAGGCTGTTCACGGTGATATTATTTGTAATAGAAAAAATCCCAAGCTACTTTAAGTCTCTACCAATGGAGAATTGCTCAAATAAATCATTACTATATGACATATCTGCAACATAGTTTGATTTTGTTGTTAAAATGCATGAACAGTAAAATGAATGTGTACCATGTCATAAAAATACATTTTAAAATGTTAAAGAGACAATTCAAGAAAGTCCTGAAGCTAGAAAGCATTTTCAGGGGTGCAATTGGTAGACTACTGTAAACGCTGGCCTTAAATCCTTCCTTCCTTCCTTCCTTCCTTCCTTCCTTCCTTCCTTCCTTCCTTCCTTCCTTCCTTCTTTGTTCATTTGAATGCCTCATTTGCCACAGCCCTCTCCACTCAGTCTTGTATTCTAATGCTGCTTGCTTCCCATTTTTATATCTTCCTGGTCCTAGGGAACATTATAATTTTCTAACATTCTATTTAAAATCTTCAAATTTGATGGTAGAGCATTGACTTTAGGCCACTGTGATTTGGCTTAACTCTGCACTTGGGACAGAAGGATATTTGCAAACCACTCTGATGTTTTAGTGAGCTTAAAAAATGTACTTAAATTGCATATTTCAGTTACCATCCCAAATGTAATCATATACAGAAGAATAATCTCTTTAAAAAGAAATGGGCCAAATTTTAAATAATTTCAGTATTGACCTGTCTGTTTGATCTGTAATATCTATAATTATAAAAATATAAAATTTAAGAAAAGATCAAAACTTTAAGAGAATGATGATTTATATTTTAATTCAATAGTTTCCACAAAATTAATGATGTTAAGAAGTTTGTTTTCTTTAGGAACATGTTTGAATTTTGATGTTATGAACGTAAAAGTTGAGGCAGGCCCTTTCCAAATCTGTGAATAAGCACTCAGTTTACAATATTCAACTTACAATTTAATTTTTTTTTAAAGTCTCATGTCTTATATAATTTTTTAACTTATATGAACGGAAGTTTACAGTGAGAATATCAGATTTCCTAGTCTTTTCATCTTTACTCACTGGTCAAATCTGACAGACCTACAATAATGGACACTGTTAAAAGGGGCGATCCATGGAGAATAACATGTAGTTTTCTTAATCTCCAATTGATTAACTAATAAGACAAATATTTATTGTCTGTCACGTGCCAGACACTGTTCTATAGGCTGGAGATACAGTAATGGGAAAACTAGACAGAATGTGCGTGCTTCGTGCTGCTTACGTTCCGGGAGGCAGACAAGAAGCGAAGTCAGACGGGCGGTGTGGCAGGTGGTGGCAGTGGCCGTGGAGCACCTGGAGAAGGGGAGCAGGCTCGGGCCCC